ACGTCTGTGTGACAGTTTACTAAAAACTATAACAGAGAAACGGTCCAAAGAGAAAAAACAAGTCTTGAGTGAAACTGCTTCACAGACGTATGCAAACTGTGACAAAGAGTCATTCGCACACACTCAACTACAGCTGCATAAAAACAACTGTTGGTTATTATTTAATGTCAGGAAATAGTGAAAAATGTCCATTGCAGTTTCTCGCAGTCCAAGGTTATGTCTTTCAAAGTGTTTTTTTGTCAGATATTCACTTAAAGGTGGGGTAGGTAAGTTTGAGGAACCGGCTCGAGATACACTTGTTATATTCCATGGAATGCTCTTAACATCCCGATAGCAATGAATATCTGAAGTGCTTTGACAAAAAATACATAAAAAAATGTCATCTGTGGAAGCCTTAATACTGTAAAAAGCATGACCAATCATCTGAGCCGGCCCGGCTAAAATAACTGGATGGCCTACCTGCCTGTCAGCCTTCCATCTGTGCACAAACTTATCTCGCGCCCTCATTGGTCATGTGCGCGTTCGTGTGTGTTGGAGGAGGGGCTCTGTAAGGAAGTGGCAGATTTTCTCCGGTTGTGTATTTTCAAATTCTAGCGATCTCGAGCCGGTTTGTCAAACTTACATACCCTACCTTTAAGGTCTAAAAGTGTGTACTAAGCAAGAATGGAACACAACATGGAAGTGAAGGAAGTGCTCTGTTTATTTAAATGTGTAGTTAAATTAAAATAGTGTCCCTTGGCTGTGAAAGTTAAGATGAAGAAGTATGATTTTTAAAATGAAAGAAAAGAGAATATCTAACATAATAACCATTGCAATAATATGCTATATTTGAAGTGATATCAAAGTGTATATTGGTTAATAAGATACAAACATCATTAAAGAAATAAATGTATATAAAAAACAACATTCAACTTGATCCTCGGGCCCAATATATTGCGCCAAACAGTCAGGGGTCCGCTGTGTCAGTGTTCTTGGTGTCAGCTTGGTGTGTCCGGTGCCTAACATACCGTAAACAAGTGACATACGTGAGACAATGGCTTCAATCCTTGATGGAAGCAAATGTGTGGTTTTCTTCCGCCTGACACCAACCCCCTTGCTGTCCATCAAAACCTCTGACGCTTCTTCTCAAAGGCGCGTAGCGGCTTTTTTGGCTGCTCTCTTAGGGCAATGTCCACAGATCTTCTGTGCACAAAAATAAAATGTTCTTACAGAAGGGACATGTCCTTTTTGTAAGACCCCTGGGCATGATTAACACGGATTACATAACAAACGAAGACAGACTGACAAACACAGGAAGTAGAGAGTACAAGTCAGGCAATCAGGATAAGCCGAAAGCGCGTGACCATAAAAGAATAGAGATAGATATTAAGAGAGCTAAGATAGGGAGATAGGGGGAGATAGGTGGAGTTTGGCTCTTAAAAGGGTGCCGTTGGTTTTAGATGGTGTGATCAGTTGTAATGAGGTTGTGGTGTGGGTACGGGAGCTGCAGGAGAGAAACAGAAAAGGAATTATGTGTGAGCTAAGCTTTTTGCGAGATACATTCAGATGCATAGATATATAGGGTGAGATACATAGACATATTAGATTAGAACGACAAGAAGCGTAGATAGGGGAGAGTAGGGAGATAGGTAGATCTGGCTCACTATAAAGCACCATGTGTTTTAGAGGTGTATCAGTGTATGGGTTTGGGTGGACAGAGCGCAGAGAGAACAGAAACAACAAAAAAAGGGAAATGATCGCTAATTAGTCAAACAGCTGTGGTGTAAATGGCACATTGAGTATTTCAACTACAGTTATATCAGACTGTACGCATTTACGTTGTGCCTGTGTCACCAACAACCATGACGGGACTGAGTAGCTCGGGCCTCCCCTTTCAATACATATTAAGAATGTCACGGTTCTCTAGCCTTACTCTCCGTCACCCGTAAAGTCAAAAGCCGACTAAGATACAACGAACATCACCACTTTAATCCACGCGTAACTTTTTCCGACTATCGAGCCGTAATAAAGACAAATATTTTTCAACACAACCACTACTGATGCTGATATACATAGTGATGCTATCACTTTAGGTTAAGAGAGCTTATGGTGTGAACGTTTGTTTGTAGCTAGCTAGTCTAGCCGGCGCTGCTAAGCAATAATTTACACACACTTAATGCTGCTTGCTGTAAATAAAGAGGCGAAAGCATTTCTCAGACTTAGGTAAGCAGTAATCATATCTAAGGAGTTGAACCATGGGTTCGAGGGTAAGAGCGCCTAATAATAAAGCTCCAAGTTATGAAATCTAATTCAAGAGAGCATTGTACCTAAGTCTCTTTTAGTGACCTCTATAACTACTTTTGTCATAGGGATGTATTCCACGCAATGCCGGAGCAGCGTTTGCCAATAGAGTTGTTCTCTGAATTATGGTAATGAATCAGCCTGCACCTCGATTAGAGCGAGTCATAAAATATCAACACATTTCCTATTATCATTGACACGATACCACTCTTAAATAACCTAAGTAATCTCTAACGGACAAGAAACAAAAAACATATATCATCTGCCATTAAAAATGCAGAAGAAGTTTAAACATCTAACATGATAAATAATAAGATACAAAAATAGATATCTTAAACCAATCACAATAAATCAAATGGCGAAA